TGTAAGAAGTAGAAAGCAAGCTGACCTTCCAGCAGAACCCAAGAGGCTGGAGCAGAAGTGTGCCCATCCTAGCACAGGAGCAGCAGTGTGGCCATCAGGGCCGAGTGGAGGGAGTGGGGCGAGGGAGTGGGGCGAGGGGGTGTGGGAGTAGAGGTGAGCAGGGGAGATGGTCGCGTCACTGTGAGCACTTGGCATTACCGCGAGGTAAGAGGCTGCTGGGGGGGTTTGAGCAGAGCAGTACTCTTGGATGTCCATTGTTTTTTTGTTTGTTTGTTTGTTTGTTTTTTTAGATTTTTTTGCTAAAGGGGATGTGTGCTCACCAGAGAGAGAAAGACAAGAGAAAGAAAGTGAGAAATCACCCTCCAAGGGGGATGGCCACACTGCAACCCCTTTTCTTCTGCCCTCCTCCTGGGATTTTTGGACACACACACACACACACACACACACACGTGCCCAGTGGTTCAAGCTGCGAGGTGTGAGACTGCAGCTGTGGTCAGCCATGTGAGACCCAGTGCCTTAACCATGGCCAACCACAGTTCGAGTCCTGGACTTGGTAGCTTACTTTCTCACTTTCTTTTTCCCTTTCTGTCTGTCTCTCTCTCTCCGGTCAAATTAAAAAGAAAAAGAAAAAGAATGAATTAATAAAAAGTTAAGTAAAAAAAAAAAAGACAAAATTAGATTTTCAGAAGCTGGATGTGAAGACTCACCACATTTTACAATGAAAACTATTCAAAAGTTACAGTTGCAATTAATTGAGAAACTGCCTTGGCTTTAAAGACCTTCGGGAATGGAACTGCAGGTTCTGTTTCATTGTTTGTAGACTGCCACGGTGGTGGCAGTGGCATGGTTTTCTAGCTCACCCTTTCTGCAGTATAACTGATTATGTGATCAGGGTAGCCAGCAATAAGCTGGTGATTCTTTGGTGGTGGTTACTATTGTAGAAAATCCTGTTTTAAATTCTAGGGTTAGTTGGTAAATTGATGTTTTAAAAATAGCCACATCTGTGCATACGTTATAGCCAATTGAAATTTGTTGTAAGTATTTCAAACAGTAGGGTCAAGCCCTAGAACATTATGTCATTTGACGTGAACATGCAGTTTCATTTCCTGCAGTCTCACTTACAGCAGGTTACTCTTGCCCTGAGTTCCCGCTGAGGTTTGGCCCGACTTCGATGCGCAGCAAGCCGTCTGCTCCTCCGCACTGTACTTCAGGGTGCATCTGTTTGATTTCAGGAGTAGCCCTGCAGAGGGGTTGAGGAAAAGACCCCTCATTGTATTTGATGGCAGTTCGACTAGCACGAGCATCAAAGTGAGGAAGGCGGAGGACGGAGAGAACGAGCGACTCAAGCCGCCCCCGCAGGCCAGCGTCACCAGTAATGCCTTTCGGAGATTAGCGAGTGCCTCTTCAAGTGCTTCCCCCCTAATTTTGTCTTCCAATTTGCCTACGAACAATAAAATACCACACAATAACAATGACACTAAACAGAACCATGACTTAACGCATAGGAAAAGTCCTTCGAGCTCTGTGAAGTCACCACCTCTGTCCCCTGTGGGAACTACTCCAGTGAAGTTAAAGCGCGCTGCTCCGAAGGAAGAAGCAGAGGCCATGGTACGTTCGGGGCGGGTGGCTTCCTGCTGTGACGGTGTGAGCACAGCCTCAGCATGCGCCCAGGGAGAGCCCAAGGAGGTCGCTGCTGCGGCTGTCGGAACCCTGGAGTCGTCCGATGGGTTTTTACGTCCCCGTGCTCATGCATTCGAGTTCTGGAATTTTAAACCCACGGTGATGAATGTTTTGAAAGGCACACTCAATTTCTGTCTGCCTAAAATGGGTGTAGATAGAAGCAGGCCCTTCCCTAGGCCATCCCCGTCCGGTAGCCGTTCTGGAAACCGAGGAGCGCCAGCCCCGCTCTCTAGCAAGGCTCAGGGTTGAGGAGATGCCCAGGCAACACGACCTTCAGTCTGCCCCGCTACCTTAAAATCACACTGGCATCTTCTGAAGATTGCCCACGTACGTCCTCTGCCCCTTCAGTGTGCAGCTTTGGAGGGACAGAAGAAGTTTGGGGAAATCTATGCAGTTACTCTGTACTGTATTGCAGCATGGGTGCTTTTTATTTAAATTGTAGGGGGCCAGCACGTGGCTCGGTAGTTAAGGCACTGGACTCCCACATGGCTGACTATGGTTTGAATACTGAAAGTCATGCCGGGCGTGTGTGTGTGTGTGTGTGTGTGTGTGGTCATGCTAATGCATGTATGTGCTCCAAATCCCAAGAGGGGATTGCAGTGGGCCATCCCTCTTGGAGGGGTGATTTCTCTCTTTTCATCCCATTTCTCCCTGGCAAGTGTGCACAGCCCATGGCAAAATCCTAAAAAAAAAAAAAATTGTGAGATGTGTTTGTTTTTTTTTTTTTAAGAATTATTTTTTATTTAACTTTATTTATTATTATTATTTTCCAGTTTGATCAGAGAGACACAGAGAGAGAGAGAGAGAGGAAGTGAGAAAGCAAGCCACCAGGTCTGAGACTTGAACCGTGTTCGGCCGTGTGGGAGTCCAGGGCCTTTGACCACCATGCCACTTGCCAGCCCCGAGATGTGTATGTTTGATCCTCCCCTAGGCTTCTCAGAAAAACGATTTTCCTTCCAACTCGCAGTTGTTAGTCATTGGTCTGTAGTATACCTTGGCTCTGTGACCATCTTCTAGTAGTGTGTTACAGGGATCAAAACGCAAGAGTCCAAGCATCTTAAAATAGGCTCTGGGAAGGAAGCTGCCTGGCCGACAGCTCTTTACCTGTTAGCTCACTGAGTCCTTTCAGAGCCCATGGAGTCGGCACCTTGTTCTCATTGCGCAGGCAGGGACACAGAGCTTACGTAATCCTGTCCAAGGGTCTAGAGTTAGGAAGTGCCCAGACTGCAGCTTGAATTCAGGTTCTTTTGGTCCCAGGGTACACTTAGGACACCATGCTGCTTCCGTCCTGATTTCAGCCACCCCAGTGGGAGGGGACAGATGTATGGGTGTCTCCGATATTGCAGTAAGGAGTGAGCCGTGAGGACTCTTCCCCAGGCTCTTAGAAGCATATGACTCCTGCAGAAGTGTGATGTACACGTGTCCCCAGCCAATGGGCGGTTCCACTTGGAATTCTTCGCCTTTATGATGGTGTGACACTGATGTGCGATATCACAGTTTCTGATGTGTGGTATTACAGAACAGGCTTGTGTTAGGTGGTTTTGCCCCACGTCAGGCTAATGTAAATGTCGCAAGCATGTTTCAGGTAGGCTAGGCTAAACTATGGTGTTTGGTAGGTTAGGGCAGTGAACGCATTTGACTTAGGATGTTTTCAGTTCGTGATGGGTTTATCAAAAGGAAATTCCACTGTAAGTCGAGGGACATCTACTGTGTTTTTAAGAGTTTCCTCTCGTGCTGTTTTGGGATTGGGAAGTGTAGGAGGAGATGGGCGAGGCAGGAAGAAGCAGGTCTGGTGCAGCCAGAGCTTGTCAGTCTGTCTGCGCGGTAGGAGCCCTGAAGAACTTCCAGAGAAACCCAAGCAGGAGCGCACCAGAGCCTCATCCCTACCCTCTGTGGGCTCCAGTTATATGGTTCTGGGTTAAGGCCCGACCCGAGCCTTTTTTTCTTTCTTTTCTTTTTTTTAAATTATTTGCTATAGGGCATGTGTGCTCACCAGAGAGAAAGGGAAAGTGAGGAAGCTAGCCGCCAGTCTAGGATTCAGACCGTGATTGGACTTGTGGGAGTCCAACGCCTCAACTACCACGCCACCTGCTGGCCCCAGCTGAGCACGTTTGTAAGAGCTCTGCATTATTTCCTGCTTTTCTGAACTATCTGTCCACCAGAGGGCAGCAATGATGCTCCGTTAGTGTGTGGTAATAAACCTGCCGTTTAAAGTGTTTTACTCACTCTCTGACATTTCTCAAAGTGGTAACTGGTTTCTGTTTATGTCTTTCAGAATAACCTGAAGCCTCCAGAAACAAAGAGAAAGATACAGCATGTTACATGGCCATGAAGGAAAGTTTCCAAAAATGTAAATATATCTGTAACTGTAGTTTTTCAAATAAGTTCACATATATTGACAGTATTTATGGAGATCTCGATTATTGTGGAGTTTTCCTAAGAGACAAGATAGGTTAAAAGTCTTTTCTTTCCTTCCCTCTCTCTCTCCTTTTTTTTCTTTTTTTATTTTAAGTCTTGCTTTTTATGCTTTGATTTGGAAAGAATTTCTTTTTAGACTAATGGCTTGGAATATGTCATTTATAATTGACCCTGGTCATATTATTAGCTGCAAGACCCATCAATACATTTTAGGAATTATTCTAACTAGTTTCTTTCAGAGCCTTTGGGAGAAATTTGAGATTTTTTTAAACTCAGCTATTTTATGAGCTCACCATTCTTATTCATTTCTTCCCCCAGGGGAGGCATAGAACAGTCCTCCCGGTGTTAGTAACGCAGGGCTTGGCAAGGAAAGCGTCCTTGTAGTGCGGCTGGGAGCTGCTCCGGGCGTGCAGAGGAAGCTGCTGGCCAGCGGCTTACAGTGCTGCTCTCCGCAGAGGGCGAAGGCAGAGGCAGTGCTCGCCGTGGCTCCTGCCCGAGCAGTCGTGACAGGGGTCTTAGGAGCTGGCGGTCAGTCCTGGCCCTGTCCCCCTCGGGATGTCATCACGGAGCAGTCCTTGCCGCTCTTCGTAGGCAGAGCAATCTCCGAGTTCAGCTGTTGCCTCCTCCTAGGAGATTAGTCTTTTCAAAATGAAGGTGATTGAGAAGTCTTCAGGCCGAGCAATCATGTTGGAGGTGGTACGTGGTGGCAGGAAGCCTAGAGAACCTGGGTGGGCAATGACGTGACGTTCTAGAACGTGTGGGAGCCCAGGGAGGCGAGCCGTGAGGGGAACCAGTGTTCCGGGACAGGCAGTGGAGACTCGAGCCTGCGTCACTGAAGAGAGCAGCAGGAGCAGAGCAGGCTCGGGGCTGGACGGCTCCCCGGGCATGGGCGATGCCAACGGCTTCCCCAGGGCCGTCCCACACACGTCCGAGGTCGGAACAGCTGGCTCAGGTCTGGGTCTGGTCGAAGTGGTGTTCCCCTCGGCCGAACAGTGGAGGGCAGGAGGAAGCAGGCTGCCGTTCGTTCTTGTGTTCTGGAGCCCTTTTCTGCTCTGTCTAACCAAGAGCAAAGGGGGCTTTCTCTCCTTTTCTCCTTGTGTGATCAGTCTTCAGATTGGCATTGGCCGTTTTTATTACATTTTAGAGGGTTCTTTTTTCTTAAACAGTTCAGTCTTGCAGGTAAGAGCTGTGCTGAGCTTTCAGCCCTAGAGGTTTCCATCCTGCCTGTGTTCTCGCGGGAACCTGCGTGTCAGGCAGGCTCAGTGCAGACTAAGTGCTGCGCCGTGTCGCCGCGGTGGGACGTCGGAGCGTGGTCACTGCGGAGCCGATTCACAGGACGTGCTGACCAGCAGCTCTGATCCTGCACGTAGAGTGTCAAGGGAGCCTCCTAAGTGCAAGGTTTTTGGTAGAATGACGTAGTATTTTATATTGAGTTGTCCCTATTTCTCTCTTGGTTAAGAGAGAGTTCGCCATTTGACGATTTTAAGTCAGTGGGATTTTTAGTTACTCAGTGCAAGGACTTTAATCGGCGTATCTAACTTACAGAGTAGGTTGGTAATAACAGCTGAACTGTGTAACATTGTTGCTTCAAATTGAAGTTCGCATTATGACCATTCCGAATCAGTGCGCATTAGCAGTGTCAGTGCTCAGGGCCTGGGCGCCAGCGTGGCGGGGGCCGGATGAGGCGATGGACACCCCA